GCATATGAATGAGCGTCGTTGAGAGAACAGACAAAATATAATTACCCTTTTACTCTGCCTCCTTTTATAACGTGCAAGTGGGCCGTAAAGGCACACGGGGATATGGGCAGCTGGCGCTCAACCATCATCAACGTGGCCAGCCTTGTACTTGATAGGCACAGTAAGAGGGTAACTGCAAAAACAAAGAACATGGGAGGCCTCCCAATGCTGGCTGATGAAAAAATAATCAAGAAAACGATGTAACATACTAACAAATGTACTGTGTCTCGTATTCTTTTTGCTGTTGGGATGGCCCATCTCGAGTGTGTTGCATTGCTTGTGTAAAGGTGAGATTCCTTGTCTGATTAAAGGTAAGGTTCTGAATAGATATTGACTTCACAAGCAAAACTGTCTCATTGGTGGACTGGCTCATCTCGAGCATGCTTCATTGTCTGCAATATAGGTAAAGTTGCTATGACTTCGGATCTACTCATCTGGGCGGAATAGAGGAAGTTGTGGTGATAATTTGTAACACACACACACACACACACACACACACACACACACACACACACACACACACACACAAAATCAGTTTTTGGTGTGTTTGTTTTTCCGTCGCTCCCCTATTTTTTTCTAAGTATTTTTGTATGCCCAACTGAGCAACCTTAAGTAGTGCCAACCAGTCGGTGGTTCCTCGTTTGGAGTGCCTACTGCACTCATATGGGGGCCGCTCAGTTCGGGATGCCTGTGTTGCCTTTAGGTGATGACGGATGCTCATCGGAGTGTCTCCCTGGCTCAGTGGGTGGTGGGAACCAACAGTCTGTGGGGTTCACCCGTGATGTGAGTAGGTGATGTGCTACTTTGCTCCGTGTTGGATGTGTGGACGGCCTCTTCTGCGCTCCACCACTGCCTTGCTGCCCGTCCTGCTTGCCTCGCAGGTCATTCTTGGCAAGCTGCTGTCTTCGCTGTGTGGCGTGGCCAAGTTGTGGTGTTGCCTTGCGCTTCGCTGCTCCGCTGCCTCGCCACCCTTCCGCTGGTCGTGCCTTCTGTGTCCTTTGCTTGCGCGCCGTGTAGTTCGGTTGCCGTGTTGGTGTTGCCTTGTGTTTCACAGCATGGTTGCTCTGCTGCGTGTCCGCTCGCCCTGTCGTCCCTTGCAGTGTGGTTGTCTTGGTGGTGTTGCCTGGTGCTTCACTGCTTGGTTGCCGTGCTGCAAGTCCTGCATGCCGTGTTTTTCCTTGCAGTCGTCTTTGGCGTTGTGCAGCCATGTTGCCTCTACTGCGTTGCCTGGTGCTTCGCAAGGTTGCTGCCCGCTGCTATGTTCCACTTGGGGACAGTCTGCCTTCACTTAGGGTCAAAGGGTGCATGACCCAAACCATCAATACGGGCATTCCGCAGATTGTCGAGGGTTCAGCTTCCTGATGAGTCGGTGCAACTCCGATGAAACAATCTTTCATCACCAGCTTTTTTATTTTTATTTTTTTCGGTCCTTCGATTGTCTTGGGACTTGTGTTATTTTTTGGTATGTCTGTTGGGTGTGTTTGTATGGCGTTTGTCCTTCTGCCTCCCCCATGCCCTCCAGCATCCGTCCTTCCTTGTCCTCTGTGCTTATGTATTGTCTTCTGTGCTTATGTATTGTCTGCCCTCCCACCTCCCCCTTACCCTCCAACCTGTATGTTCCTCGTACTTTTCATTCACGCTGTATGGCAACCGCTCCATTTACACGGCTACGACACACTCTAAAGCGCCTCGGCTCCAGTGGCACTGCATAACTCGTTCCATTGTCGACAGACTTCACCATCCCTGTTAGGATTCCGTAGTGTGCCGGCCATTATACCGGAGCTCAACCATCCACAGTTAAAGCGTGGTATGGCGTGCGTATGAGCACACACACACACACACACACACACACACACACACACACACACACACACAGACAGAGAGAGAGAGAGAGAGAGAGAGAGAGAGAGAGAGAGAGAG